TTTCAATGTGGTTGCTATTGTGAAAATGTATTGTTAATTTATGTGAGAATTGTTGATATGTTTCTCACGCTTCAATGAAGAGGAAAAAAAAAAAAAAAAAAAGTGAAAGTCAATTGAAGTGAAAATAAAACATAAAATACACACACGCATGTATATGCACACACATATTTACATATATATGTGTTTTGTTTCCCCATCCTTCCTTTTTTTTTTTTTTTTTTTTGTGTGTGTTATTTGTATGCCCTTTTTGCCCGTGGTACACTGTAGAAAGTATATTTGTCCGTGCATACACTCTGCGCTTTATTATTTTATTTATTTGTTTATTTTTCTTGTTTCTTTATTGGGGGAAACCCTCTTTTTTTTCTTTTTCTTTTTTGTTTTTAAACCACTGGGAGAAATAATACACGCATACATACGTACAAACAATTATATATATATTTATATACTGGGATTTGGTATTATTACCGCATGTATGTAAGGAAGGAACAATGGACCGCTTTATATCCTCTGCTGTGACTGTCGGCAAGGTGATTCTTGTCTCGGTGGTGGGCATTTGGATATCGCAGCATTTTCACAACAAGGAAAAATCACTCAAGGCACTTAGTTATATCTCTGTTAAAATATTTTTGCCATGCCTCCTCTTCTCACAACTGGCAAAGGATCTCTCATGGGATATGATTCATAAGTATTACTGGGCATGTATATTGCCTCTTATTCCAATGATATTTGGCTTTTGCACAGCCCTTGCCTTTCGTTCTTTCATTCCTGCCGAGCTTCACGGTCTGCTTCTGCTGTCCTGCACGTTTCAAAGCATCGTATCCTATGGCCTAGGCATCGTGCTGAATCTTGACATCTCCTGGTGGAGCAAGGAAGACAGAAGTGAGGCGCAGTCATATGTGTTTCTTTTCAACTTGCTGCACTCTTTGTTTCTGTGGTCATTTGGCACAATGATAGTTGAGAAGGGCGCTATGGCCTTGGAGGAAATGAAGGCCACCGCCGCTGTTGCCACCGCTGTTTCTGCCGAAGATGATGGTGATGATGCCATTACGTCCATGCGCAACACAAGCGGCGCGTTAGTGGAAATGGAAGAGTGTTTTGGGGCTGAAAGTCATCAAAGTGCAGGGCAGCTGGAGGCATATCAGCCTGCACCGGAGATCAACTCCACACGAGACGTCGTGGAGCGAGAAAATAAGTGCACGGCGGATTTAACATGGCCGGAGTACATCCGCGTGCAACTCCCGTACCTTTTGTCCGAGCAGATTATTGCCAGCTTTTTAGGGTTGCTGGTTGCTCTTGTCCCCCCTTTCTATCTTCTGGCGAAGAACCCTGTGGGGGAGGTGTTAATGGGTGGGATTTCTTTTTTGGCTCCAGGTGCCGTCCCGCTGCAACTTTTGGTACTCGGCGTCAACGTCACGGCAGACGATGAAGACGACTCAAAAACACTTCCCATTTGTTTTCTGGTAGTTGTCATTCTTCTTCGTCTCCTTTTTATTCCTGCTATTTGTTTCTGCATTATCCACATTCTCGTGGTGAATGCCCTTATGCCCTACGATAAGCCGTTTATATTAGTGATGCTGATACTAACATCCGCACCGACAGCGATAAACACGTCTAGTATATGTTCTATTTATTCCTACAAAGTCAAAGAGTATACAAAAGTGCTTCTCTTCATGTATATGGCATGCATTTTCACGACAACTGTATGGCTTACAGTATATGTTTGGTATCTGGATTCATAAAAGGAATATACATTGACCTTATATATATATATATATAAAGCATGTATGCATGTACGGAGGCGAAGGAATCAAACAAAAATGAAATTGCGAGTGTGAAAAGTTATTGTTTTTACCGATTTTCTTTTTCTTTCTTTTCTTTTTTTTTTTTTTTTTTTTTTTTTTCTTTTATTTACAACCTGCTTGAAGTGCCTTCGGGTACATATTTTAGACACTTTATATATATAGCACATGTGCATACATGTATTTTACTTTTTCTTTTCAACTTTTTTTTTTTTTTTTTCTTGAAGGGTTCCAAAGAAATGATATTTGTTTTTGCCGTTGTTTTTATTTATTGGGCCCTCTTACACGATTTTGCTTTTTTTTTTTTTTTTCGATTAATTAACAGGATTCTCTGTTTTTCCCTTTCTCTTCCCTTTTCTCTCTCTGTGGGTGCAACAGCAGCTATGGAGGGTACTTGAGGAAAATGGTTGGTCGTCGTTGTGTCCTCCTCCTCCCTTTTTTTTTTTTTTTTCTCAATGCATGACTTTTGTTTTTGACTTTTTTTTTGCCTGTTTTTGCAAATAATTTTCCAAAGAAGGGGAACGGCAGCCGCTTTTTTGCGTGTGGGATCCAACGAGCACAGGGAAGGCGTTCATGCCGTGTGTTGTCTGCCACCAGGGCCGCAGGGTGAAGAGCTCCACCGGGCCCTGGTTTGGAATCCGCTCGAGAATACCAAACACGGCTGCTCTAGAAGACGATACACGTACATGTACATATATGAGAAGGGTGAAGTCTCACGCTGGCAGCTGCGCCCTCGCTTCAACGTGATGGGGGCCGCATGAGCCCTAAATGGAGAGAAAAATGTGCATCGCCTCGGTTGCATGAATGCCCCATTGCTGAAGTCCGGGAGTAAAGCTGACAAAAAAAAGGGGGATTCATTGGTAAAGGGATGCTCACATCACCCTTGAAGTAAAACCATGCGTCTTGTTCATAGGATGCCATCAATTCTATTGGAGAAAAAGGACTCGCTAGTTATTCCTTCAGTACATGAGTGCATCGGGTGTCAATAACCACATCGGACACACAAGCTTCCCACCTTATGACGACACGATACCGAGTGTCACGTTTGCACGAAACCTTGCCCATCCTACGATGGTTGTATAGATTGCTCTTAACACGTACGGGGTTAAGTTGCTTGTAAGAGTATAAAATAACAACGTGAAACGCTTTTGGTATGCGTCTTGATTTATACCCTGATATATTATTCTTAAATTCAATTTAACGGCATGGGGGACGCGTACTGTCACGCACAACACAATTCCCGCCTTATTTCCGTGCGCCACGTCTCCCCATTGCGATTTTTCTCTGGTGGTGCATGGCTGCAACTGTAAGGAGAAACCAGGTGCTGTGTTGTGCTATCCTCTTTCCACGTGTTCAGTTAAATGGGGGGAGACTGTCGCTGTTTCCGTGGCGTCTGTGTGCATGCAGTGGGACCCTTCTGCTATCCATACCTCCTTCTGTTTTAGAATACCGCGCTCAATAGTTGCTGAAAGGGTGAGTGGAAGCAAGTGGGGAGCTCATGGCGTCACTGTCCAGGCGGCGTGTCGCCATAATCACCGGTATCACCGGACAGGACGGGTCGTACCTTGCGGAGCTGCTCCTTAGCAAGGGATACGATGTGCACGGCGTCATTCGGCGGTCTTCGTCCTTTAACACAGGCCGCATCGACCACATCTATCGCAATGAGCATCTCACGCTCCACTACGGCGACATGACAGACGGCACGGTGCTGCACCACCTCATTGCGCAGCTGAGGCCCGACGAGGTGTACAACCTCGCCGCACAATCGCACGTAAAAGTGTCCTTCGACACACCCGAGTACACGGGGCAGACGGACGGCATTGGCACGCTGAAGATCCTCGAGGCCATACGCGCCAACAACCTGGTGGAGACGTGCCGCTTCTACCAGGCAAGCACCAGCGAGCTCTACGGCAAGGTGCAGGAGGTGCCGCAGACGGAGAAGACGCCCTTCCACCCGCGCAGCCCGTACGCGGTGGCGAAGCTGTACGCCTTTTGGATCACAGTGAACTACCGTGAGTCGTACGGTATGTTTGCGTGCAACGGCATTCTGTTCAACCACGAGTCGCCACGACGCGGCGCGACGTTTGTGACGAAGAAGATAGTGCGGGCTGCGGTGCGCATCAAGAAGGGTCTGCAGAAGGAGCTGCTTCTTGGCAACGTGAATGCCCTGCGTGACTGGGGGCACGCGAAGGACTACGTGCACGGCATGTGGCTCATGCTGCAGGCGGAGAAGCCTGACGACTGGGTGCTGGCGACGGGCGAGCAGCACAGCGTGAGGGAGTTCTGCAACTTGACGTTCAGGAAGCTTGGCTACGAGCTGGAGTGGTCCGGCAGCGGCGTTGATGAGGTCGCGTACGACGTGGCGGATTCGAAGAAAGTGCCGCTGATTCGTGTGGATCCGCGCTACTTCCGCCCTGCGGAGGTGGAAACGCTGCTTGGCGACGCCAGCAAGGCCGAGAGAGAACTCGGCTGGAGGACCACGTACAGCTTCGGGGAACTGGTGGATGAAATGGTGCAGCAGGAGATCCGCGATACGGAAACCGGTGCGGACGCATGGCGATGAGGCGGAGCGAATGTGTCCGGAGAGCAGTGCATGGGGAGGGGAATGTGCGTGACTGATGCTCTTGCGTGCGGTTGTTTTTTTCTCGCGGAGTATGAGAGAGAAAAAGGAGCCCGAAGAGGTGCAGTGACAACTGCGGGAAAAATATGCGGGTGTGCCTCTGTTTTGGCTTCCGTGCTCGTTTGGCACATGGCGGTGGATGGCCGGTGAGGCATTTACTTCACGCTTGCCTCTGTGTCAGGGGACGCCGGAGGAGTGGCGAACGGGTGAGGCAGCAGATGACGGAACAAGCGAAGACTATTCGCCCTGAAACGAGGGAGCAGACGAAAGGAAGAAGGGAACGCGTTACTGGTGAATTGCGGCGAGCGCTGAGGCCGAGATGAGAGGGAAGGATGGATGGAGGAGAGGGAAAAGTTCCGGTGACGAGGGGCGGAAGTACAGGGAGAAGCTCTGGGTTGTCTGTTGTTGTTGTTGCGCTGCATTACGCCGTCTGTTCTTGCAGGACCGCTTGTT